TGGATGCTGTGACAAGGATCTCATCTGCAAGGCCAGTCCCCTAGTGGCTTCCTGGACACCCTTTCATTGCCAGTTGTGGCCTATGCTAATATACCCACCCAGCCAGTGCCCTTCACTAGAAACACACACTTCTCTTTTTTTCCCTTCTCCTCACCTCTCCTCCCTCACACGCTTCATTCCCAGCAAACATCTTTCCTGAAACTAGCATCTGAGGGAAGAACAGCCATATCCCAGGCCTTGGAACTGTCTTCCTGGCCTGCTGGCAAGACAGGAGCAACAGGTGGAGAGAGGGGGTCAGTGGGAAGGTAGAGGCACCAGCAGAGGGCGGGATCTCACAGATCAGGAGTCAATAAATGTTCTCCAGAAGGGACAACTGATGGCACACTGTGTCTCAGAAAAGTCAAGGTCACCTAGAAGGGAAGTTCAGGAGGGCAGTCTGGAAGCAGTGGCAGCCAAGTGGCAGAAGTCCACAGGTGGTGGGGTCAGGACAGTTCATAGCAGAAGCTAGCAGTGCAAGTAACCCAGTTGGGTGGGTAATGCTGTGATCAGGCTGCTGCTCTCCTAACAGAAAAGAAAATGCAGACCATGTGGCAAGACAGATCATGTGTCTGGCCAGAGAACAGACAGTGCTGCAGAGCTGCCATGATTGTTATTCCAGGTTTCCTTGCTATTCTTTGACATAAGCTGAAGTCCTCTCATCTCACTAGCTGGATGTCATTGTCTCAGATGATGGCCATTCTGATGCTCTTAGGTAATTTTTTATTTCAAAATTCTGGGGTTTATACACAGTATACCCTTAAGGCCCAGCCTGGAATCAGGAGTCAGATAGACCTGAGTTTGAATCCTGGGTCTACACAGTGTCAGTTGAGTGATCAGGACATTAAACTTCTTTGTATGTTAGACACCCACCTGCACAATGTGGATACTAATAGGTGCTGCACAGTGTGTTGTAAGAATTTTAAGAAGAAAGTTATTCAGGGAAAGGAGCATGATAAGAAGTTAACTGATGAAGGCTGGGAGCGGATGAGAAGGAATTGTTGGTGAGGGCACTCAGGAGGGCAGTGGGCCACCCTCTGCTGCCACACAAAGAACCCTACAACCTAGAACCTTCTGGAAGACACTTGGGCCTGAGGCAGGGTGTGATGCAGGAATTCAGAAGTAGAAGGTGCTAGGGAGATAAAAAAGATGCCCTCACTTAAATTGCTAAGTTGCCCAGGCTGGGCTTGAATTAGAGTCCTCCTGCCTCAACCTCACAGGATTACAGATGTGCACCACCACACTCAGCTGGCACTTACCTTCCAAAGTCCCCATGTGCTTGTCCAGGCCCAGACCTCATCCTTCTCCCTTCCCTTCCCTTCTGTCCCAGCTTCACTCTCACCTTGAGCCATTCACTCTGCCACCTGTTTGATGCCTAATCGCCAGCAGGTTCCCAAAAGAGCTCAAAGACAAAAGCACTGGGCCAGGAGTCCAACACAGAGCTCAGGTTCACCTCTTGAACCTGTGATGGCCACGCTGGTTATCTAGCTATTATCCCGTCTGTATAGCATTGATCGATCCCACCTTACTCTAAAAGGTTTTCAGGCTGCTGGTAGGATTAATTGCACTCCTATCCAGCCCATAAGGCTTTAGTAAAAACTAAATGTGGAAAATCAGCAAGCATAAAACTAACATGATTATTTTCCTCAAAAGGAATTAATGTACCATCCTCTAGTTTTGTGATGATGTTTCTGATAGAAGTCCAAAAGTCTCAAGTCTCCTACCCTGAGCTCAGCTTTACATATGGTATTCAATTTCCACCACAAACCACTGCAGTAGACACTCTGCTGTAATATGGACCTGGCATGTCCTTGAAAGGCACGCGTTAACGGCTTACTCCCCAGTGCACAGCACTATTGGGAGGTCATGGGACCTTTAGGAGATGGGCCCTAGTGCAAGGCAGACCACTGGGCGTGCTTTTGAGGGGACATTAGGACCCAGAGCCTCTCTACTCCTTCAGTGCCCTTGGTCTTCCTCTGCCCTGTGATCTTACCATGACGTACTGTGCACAGGCCCAAAGCAATAGTGTCAAACAACCATGCACTGAAACTGTGAACCAAGATAAAACTTTTCCTCTTCTGAAATACCTTATCGCTTGTATTTTGTTCCAGTGGCAGATGCCAACTAACCTACCTTGATATTAAAACTAAAGCTCAGGGTTCATACAATTTGCCCAAGAGTTCATGTTAATAAGTGACAGCTACACCATAGAATAGGGATTTTTAACTCATAGGGGTGTCATAAACTCATACCTTCTTTCCTGTGTAAGGCAGCAAAGAGGGGTACGGCTTGCAGGCAATTCATGGCATTCACTCTCTTAACCTTTATCAAGGCTCTGCCAACCATGATAGGGTGGCCACTTTTGCCACTCCTCTCTTAACAATGGGTTTTAGCTTCCTCCTCTAGAAAGCTCCTGTCTAACCCCAAAGCCTCCAGCCAAGTTCTCATCACTCATACTGGATGTGACAGGATGGACCTCCAACCTCACCTCCCAGTCTGTCCCCTGAGCACTCCCTCCTACACACAATAATATACTTCTGCTCTGTCACTTCCTAGTCACCCTGGGTAAGTCACTTAATTGCCCTCACTGCAGGTTTTCTCTAAGGACAGCCTGATGATAGCTATTATACACCGTCCCTAGGTACATTAAATACATGCACACCGTAAAGACCTCAGCCCAATGCCAAGGATATCTTGTCCTTTAGAAAAATACCCTGATCCTTTGCATCCTGAGACCCATGCTGAGACGGCTGGTCTTTCCTGTCCTTGCTTATCTCCCCAAGCCCACAAAGCAGGAAGTGGGCTGACTTGCCCAACCAGGGTCAGTTTCTGACCTGCAATGTGGAGAAATTCCAGCAGGTCATGGCAGCTGCACAGATCTACTGGAGTAGCTATAGCTGCTCCAAATCTACTCAGCCTGCTTAACGGGGTAGGAGGGCTAAAGAGGACAGCTGGACCAAAAGCTGAGCCAGTTTCTGGCTTAGAGCATGATCAATGAGCTGGGCCATAAGCCCTCTGCAAACTTGTAGCATAGCCTTAGTCTTGGAGGCCTCACCATCACAGTAACTAACATTAAAATGCACCCACATTCTTCATTCGGTGTAACTTGTTTAAATTTAAAAGGGCTTTTATAAATTTGCTTTTGAAATTTCTTGACAATGAGTAACTTGTTTAATTTACTACTGGCTATGATTTCTCTTCAATCATTCTGCATAGTTTGTAGCTTTTGCCAAAACTCCAATTTACAAACTGTTTTCAAATATGACATTTGCGTGGATACTAGACTTTATAAATAGTCAAGCTACTTTCTGAAGGATTCTGTGAAACATTTGTCAATTTTGACTTTGCTTTTTAAAAATATTTTCCAGCCTTGAAGGTCCCCCCCCCCCCCCCAGGTCTTCTATACTTCCTGGGCCTCAAATATGTTTCCCCTACTTCTGTGAGGAACAGATTTGCCGGCGGCTGGGGTGGGGGAGCACTTGAATCATCCAGACTCCAGACATGCAAGTTGTGGAGACTACCCACCACAGACTGGCCTGGGCATCTAAGTGGGTAACTTTACTCTCATTTTGAAAACAAAGTGACTTGTGGAACACTGGATTAAACATGATCTATGTTTAAACCCTTAATGGATTTTGATGGGTCGAAATTCACAAATGAAGCAATACTGTGACAGGCAGATGTCTAGAGGGTTTGGGCTATTATACTAACCTGCTCTTCACCCTCTCCCCTCAAGTCTACCAGGAAGGGTAATGAAGGATATGAGCTAGTGTGGGCCAGGTGGGGTGTGGACTGGCTTATGACCCTAGGGACTTCCCAGGCTGCATGGTTTGGTGACTGACAGGAGGTTAAGTTCTTTTGCCTGTTTTGTCTGGGGCCTTTTAAAATAGAGCAATTCTTAAAGTGGGGCACAGTGGCTCACACTTGTAATCCCAGCTACTTAGGAGGCTGAGGCAGGGGGATTGAAAGTTTAAGGTCAGCCTGGGTGACTTAATGAGACTCTGTCTCATAAAGAAAAGAGAGAAAAGAAAGAAAAGGAAGGGAGGGGCTGGGGATGATGTACTTCATTGTCCCTGGGTTCAATTTCCAGTACTGCACACACACACAAAAGCTAAGATACAGGTCATTTGCATTATTAAATATATTTATCTCCTTGAAAAGTTCAGTTCCTGTCACCTCTGACAAGCATCACTGCATGGGAGACAATGCTCAGGTGGGGAAGAGAAGAGCCTCAGATGCTGAGCTATACTCTAGGGTTAGCCACTGGCCATCCCTCCTGAGCCAGTTTGGCTTCAACTCACTCCCCAGCTTCACGGTTCAGTTCTGGTATGTAAATGTCTGAGAGGATGTGACAAGAGAAGCCTTCATGTCAAAGGACCCTGAGAAGCAGGAGAATAAGGTGGGCTCTGTCTAGGGTACCCAGGGCACCTACTGAGGACACCTAGAGCCAGGTGAAGACTGGATCTCCTAGTTGCAGAAGTAGGGCAGGGTGGAGCCTTTGACCAGTGTAAGAGGAAGCCACCACGAACTCCCTTGCTGGGCCCCCAATTACACAGGCTCACCTGCTAAAGGACTAATTATCTCTAGGACACCCAGGCCCTGAGCTTAGGATCCAGAAAGGGCATTTTAAACAAGTTCTGCATGGTAAGTGCATTTATTTACATCTATCAGGCTGTCCTAAGAGGCTGGAAGTACACAGGTGGGAAAGGAGCCACCCTCCAAGCTGGTGTGACAGGACTGTATCACCAACCTGATGCCCGGGGGTCCCCCTCAGAGCTGGCAACCTGGATGAGTCTGATAGGTAACTCCTCTCCTCTAGCTCCCTCTGTGAATCCAAGTGCACACAATACATCACCTGAGCCCAGCTGCTCCCCCTGGAACGTGCTATACCTCCATCCAGGATACCCAACCTTGCCCAACCTCCGGAACCCCCACAGCTCTCCCTGTCCCAACAGAGACCCCTATTCATTACTTAAATAATCTTTATTTCTCATGCACTAGGAAAATGGGTCATATGAAATGCTACTTTTCATAGTAAAGGCCTCAGTCTAGAATACAACACAGGGGGTCAGCTGGGATATAGGTCTGGACAAAGATCTGGGGACCTCAAAGGTGTTATCACCCCCAGTGCTACTGGCAGATCCAGCACCCTCCAGCTGAGTAGCCCCAGACACAGCAAAAAAGTACTGCTCCCTCCCACAGAAGCACAGGGACCTGATCCAGAGGAGAAGCATAAGGACCTGGACAAGGACAGATAAGTCTGCTAGGACATGACTAGGCAGAGGCAGTGGTCCAGCACCTTGGAGGCCCGAATCCATGCCCGCAGGCTAGGTAGCCCAGGGCCATGAGCAAACTCTACAACAGAGTCGCTCCACAGAGCCTCGGAGCCTGGTGCCCACAGCACAGGTGCACAAGACTCCCCTCAGCCACATAAATGAGACAGGGGATCAAACTTCAGCTTCAGCCAGAGCTCGATTTGCCCAGGCAGGACCCAAGAGGCTAAAGGGGCCAGCCCCTCACAACCTCCCAAGCCTCTGTGGATACTGGCGACACTCACAGGACAAGCAAGCTTCTGAGGATCCTGGGACAGGGCCATCAGCAAGCCCTTAAATCTTGGCCATCAGGGGCAACCTGAACCAGGACATAATAAAGCAGATTCCCTGGGCATTGCTTTCACTAAGGTGGCCCAGGGACAGGACATAGTCAAAGACATGCAGGACTCAAACAAAAGTATAGAGACATGCAGAGAACACAAAAGGATGGGAGGAGCGGGAGCGAACAAAACATCAAGGTTGTCTCGGTGTTGAGATGGGGTGGGCACTGCACAGGCCAGGCTCACTGAGGCCCAGGGCTTGTGGCTGTGCCTGCCTCCTCTGGAATGGTTTCCAGCATCTCACTCTGGACGGCTTGCGTGATGAGTGCTAGCTCCTGGCACAAGGTCTCATGACGGTAGCCCACACGGATGTCTGGCACATTGGTGCGGCGAATGTCATTGCCCTCAGGCCCCTCCTTAGTATAGTTGGGTCCCAGCCAATGGCTCTTTACCTGCAAGGGTGTGGATAACAGGCACAGCTACAGTCAGCTTTTAACTATACACAGGAATAAGGCTATGACCCCAAATACAAAGGAAGGAAGTAGGCGATGCCAAGGCCCACACAGGCAGGCACAGTACCTTGTGGGAAAAGCCGCTCATGAGCACACTGTTGCGGGCCAGTTCACACATGTCACAGGAGCTGAGTTTCCACACTTGGGTGGCAATGCTGTACTCCTCCATCAGTGGCTCCTGTAGGTGCCAGCCAGGTTCTCTCAGACAGGTGTGCCTGGCCCTGAAGGCCCTCCCTCTCTGCCTCCCTGGGAGGTTTGCCACTTAGTCACTACAGTCCACCAACTGGGGGCAGCACCAGCCCAGAGAGATCACAATGTCACAGGACAAGGCACACTGGCTGTCTGTCAGCCTCTGACCTTGGTGAAGTGAAACTGCAGAGGATCATCAGTGGACAGTGAGACCATGAGACCACGGGACAAGTACTCAGGTAGCGGATTTCGGTGGTAGCTGAGGAAGAGGCTATTGTTGCTGAGCGGTGACATGGCGATGCCAATCTGCGCCAGGTAATACAGGTACTGCAGGACTGGGGCCTAGGTAGGCAGGAGGGAAGAAGGGCCTGTCAGGTGGCCTCAAGGCTGAGGAAGACATGCTGGTCCTGGGGTGTCTAAACCACATTAATAGCCAGGGGACATGAAAGTGCCTGTGAGGATGGTGACCTATAGACTAGAACCAAGCTAGGGGCCCAGTCCCAAGCTAGGGGCCCAGTCCCGAGCTAGGGAGGGAGCATTAGTTATACTGTGAAGGAGGAATGCCATTTGGGGATGGGTGAGGAAAAGGATAAGCCGTTGAGGGGCCTGGATGGTTTAAAGGAAAATGAACAACTGAGGGAGAAGGCTAGCGTGCAGACCCTGACCTTACGCAGAAGCAGCCCGTGGGAGATGTTTTCGGCCAGCATGAAGGCTGACACCAGGTGGTGGATGGGCCCAGCCTCCCCGCAGTGTGGCCTCAGCACAAACGTGTGGAAGCCCCTCTGCCTGGGGGGGAGGGGGCATGAAGATAGGGTCAGCTCCAGAGCCTGAGCTCACCTGGGCTCATAAGCCCCCACCCCAACATACATGTACCCTCTAGCCAGAGTCCATGTGGGCCTAGGATAAGAGGGCAGTGGTAGATTTCTAGCTGGGAGGGGTAAAGGATAGAGTCTGAGAGCAGGGAAAGTGCCTACCCAGTCAGGGACAAGGCTCTGGCAACCCCAGCCCTGGGCCCCCAGTATGAGATGTGCTAGGTGAAAGACCTAACAGCAAGTCTAGGTTCAGCACCAGGTAGGGCAGGCACCTGCGCAGGTGGTTCAATGTGGCCATGTTGGCAAAGGTATAGTACAGGTAGTAGGCGTATGGTGGGTTGTCCTCCTCCACCCAAGCCTCCGGGAGGGGGCTCTCCAGGTTGAAGACATGATTTTCTGGCTTCGACTCATCATCCACGCTGTCAAAACCATCCACCTAGCACAGGAGCCCATGGTCAGCCCTACAGCTATGGCTGAGCACGAGCCTGGCAATCCTACCCACACCCAGCCCATGCTGCTGCTCACATGCTCCAGGAAAAGGTGTAGCTCTGGGTGGCTGGCGGGGTGCACAGTAGCCTCAAACAGTGGTAGGAAGATATTCTCCAGCATCTCTTGGAAGTTGGCCAGCTGGCCCTTGGTGCGATACACATCACTACAGGCAAGACAGCACATAGGCACATGCAGGTCAGAGTCACTGGGGAAAGGCTCTGCAGGCCAAAAAGGGTTAGCACTGGCCTCAGAGCTCAGAAGCATGATTGAACCACACAGGGAAAGAAGAGACACCAGAGTGCACCAGCTGGACAAGTTGTGGGTGAGCCTGGGAGGCTCACTTAGAGCTAGGTTGCACTTAGAGCTGGGTTAGGCCAGGGGAAGTTCAGCCATCCCTTAAATCTGGCCCTCATGTCTCCACCCACTCCAAGGGGCACTCACAAGAGGCGGGGCACCTGCACGAGCCAGCGCACGTTGGGAGAGTGCACTCGGTGCATCACAGCCCAGCGTGCCAGTTTGTCCCATTCATCCCTCGAGCGCCCGTAGATAGAGAGCCGCAGCTCTGCATTCTGGTATTTGCTTTCCTCTAGGTCCGACATCACCTCCTAAAAGCATGTGTGGAGTAGCTGATACGCAGGCTCCTCACCTGGCCTTCTGTGCACCCATGCATGCTCAGGCAGACCTCCTGAGGTTTCTCCCTCCCTGCACCTGAGCAGTCCCCCTTTCAGGCTCCCTGCTCAGCAGGGAAGGGTTTCCTCCATACCTTGATGATATGAGCAAAGTACTTCCCAGAAACCCTGTTGTCAGTCTTGATGAAGATCTCTCGGAGGACAGACTCCCCAATAGGGTTGTATTTGGCATTGAACTTGTCAAAGCGGTGGAAGGTGTTCCTGTCCTGGGAAGATGGGCAGCCCAGGTCACCCCTGAACGCTGAAATGACCCACCCACTAGCCCATGACATGGGGACAGACCGCATGCACGTCAAGTGTGTCCACACTCAAGTCATAGGCAGTGAGATTCATGCTCTCGAAGACCTCCCGCAGGGTCTGCTCTCGGCCCTGCTCCACATGCACGATCTCCTCTAGGTGCCGTTTCATTGCTCGCTTGATGAAGCGCAGCAGATGCTTCTGGTTCATGCAAGATGAGGCATGGATATGTGTGTCCACCTGAGACAGAACAGAGTGCTGCTGGATCCACTGACGGTCATAAAATCCAGGCTCAGTACAGGAGGATAAGAGCCGGCTCTCCACATTGGATGCTGGGTTGGGGGCTCAGATACTTAAGAGAGAAGAGGTGTGAAGCAGAAGTGCAAGGCTAGCACACAGAGCTACAGGGTAAAGGCCTACCTTACGAATGTTGTAGAAGTCTCGGTGTGGCACTTTTTTCTGGGCAGCCAGCTCTTTCATCTCATTGAGCAGAACATGCATCTGGAACTTTGAGCTCAAATACTGTAGCCGGCGGTAGCAGAATGACTTTCTGGGCAGAAGGAAGGAAGTGAACAAGGCAGAGACTCAGGCCCTGAAGGAAGCATCTAGGGAGGGCCCAGGAGCCAGACCCAAGACAGGAGATAGAAGGGTGCAGGATGGAGGCTGCCAAGAGGGCAGAAGACTGAGGAAAAGTTTAGGGCTCAGTAACCAAGGAGGGGCAAGAGAACAGATACAGGTATCTGGTGCTGGGCAGGGCAGGGCAGGGCAGGGCTGGGCAGGGCAGGGCTGGGCAGGGCAGGGCTGGGCAGGGCAGGGCTGGGAATAGGGCTGGGGCTGAAGAATCTCACTGGGAAGTGAGCTGTGTGGGTAAACTCACATGGGGCCATTGATAATCAGAGCCATCAGCACATTGACGTCAGCCACAAATTCCTGTAGGTCAGGATATGGCAGCTCCACCTCTGAGCAACTGTCATGAAGAGGAGGATGGGTGAGGCAAACAACCTGCAACTACAGCCCCTCCTACACGGCATCCCCTCAGCACACAAAACACTCCCTTACTGCTCATCAGGCTCTCTACGGGTATAGACGTGCACCACACCGCGCACCATACGCAGACCCAAACCCAGGTCCCCAGGCATGGTGCTTGGCTCACAATGCTCATATGGGTGCTGCTCCAAGGCAGGGGGGTGCACTGGGGCATCTGTAAGGTAGAGAAGGTAGAATCAGGACCAGGTCTCTTTCAGGCCAGCTGGTGCCCAGTGCAGAGGCCCAAACAGAGCAAGAGATATTAAAGGTCCCAAGAGGTTGCAGCTCTGGCCCCAAACCCAACCCAACTCCTCCCATAGAGAGGCAGGCAGAGCAGCAAAACCTGTGTTCCAAGCTCAGGAGCCCAGAACACATGAGTGGGAGAGGGATGGGGGGCCCCACCGGCAGACACGGGAGTGTCAGGGCTCTGCTCATAGGTCCGTGTCTCCAGGGGCTTCTCAGCCAGCTGCTGCAGGTAGCGGCGGGTAGTGGGGCAAAAACTCTGTAGCGACAGGGCCATGTACTTCTCCCGAATGAAAAGTGCCCGCACCACACTCTTGGCTGCATCCAAGAGATCTGTGAATGGCACCTGGAGATGGAGATACCTGGTCACTCTCCTCAGTCTCTGAGCCAAACTCACATTCATGCTTACCTCCCTGTGGCCCTCCCTAAACCTCATGCTCTCCCTACATTCTACAGGTTTTGACTCCAAGAACACAGCCCACTCTGGTCTCAGTGTACTAAGTAGCTCCCAGCCAGACCTTCTCCCCAGGCACTGGAAAAAGAAAATACTGCTCCAGGCTCCAGCCTGGGTGCCCCACACTACAGGAGCCCACTAAGAAACCAGGAGATGGAAGCCCAGTGCCCCACATCACACTTACCCCACACTTCTCTTCTCCAGAGATGGTAACCCGCTGAAATTCTCGTTCCAGCATATCACGTTCCCGTAAGCCTCGGTCACCCTGCCCTTCACCCTGCTCCTTGTAGAGCCTACAGGGGGTAGCACAGAGTGGTTGGAGCCTGTCTCGAGACAGGCCCTGCTCCACATCTCATGTGCACCCCTCTGCCCTCCTCACTGTAGGTCAGAGTCACTGTCCGTCTTCAGGAAATCGTGCTTGGCCCGAAGCAGAATGTCTGGCTCCAGCCTAGAGGCAAGAGAGGCAAGAGGTCAGCCAAGGCACAAGAGATGGCCCAGCACTCAGGTCGTGGCACTGTGCTAGTTGGTGTGATCAGTTTTTCACTTGTGGTCCTCACAGGCAGGGTTGGAGGGCCCTGTGCTGTTCTCACCTCACTTTAGAGATGAAGTTATGTAGCAAATTCTACCTCAGTGACCAGAAGACAGAACCAAACCCTGCAGCCTGGCTCCAAGCCTGCACTCTGTGCTACCTCCTGGGTGGAACACAAACAGGAAGATAGATGCGAAAGGGACCAGAAGGACACTGGGAAGGCTACATAGTCCCCTCAGCTGCCCTCCCTGCAGGATCTATGCAGAGCTCACTTGACATCCTGGCTGATCTGCCGCTCTAGCCTCTGCCTCCGCTCTTCCAGCTGCTCAATAGGGCTCTCCTCCGGGAACTCATAAGGAGCACTGCGGAGCTCACTCTCTGCCAGTGAGCGAGTGAACAGCTCCTAATGGGAGAGAAGGAGGAAGGATGAGGTGCCTAAGGCTTGCCCATCCCTGCAGAGCCTGAGCATGGGTTTGGACAGCAGGAACCAGGGTTCCTGGGAGAGGCTGAGAATCTAGGGAAGCCAAGCATGAGGTGAGAGAGGGCTGAGGTGGAGGGGATGGGGATGGAGCAGGGTGTGGGATGGGGTGTAGGATACCAGGTGATACCTCGGCAATCTCCTTGCACTTGCCATCCATAGACGTGCGCAGGTCCAGCGGGAAGTGCTTCAGGCAAGGGGCGGGGCCTGGCAGGGATCGGGCAGGCTGCAGCGGAGGGGCCCCCAGACCAACCCGAGCCTCTGCAGAGACAGTGATACCAGGATAAGAGGTGAAGGGTCAGAGCTCAGAAGCCCCTGGAAGCCATGGGCCCCTCTCTGCCCTAGGCCAGCCCCCAAAGGAGGGCAGGGGCTGGACTGTGGGTGGTCCCTGCACAGTGCCCAACAAATTCCTGAAGGACCTCATCCTCATATCTAGCACAGGGACCCTGCTCCACCCTGGGCTCCTGGTGGTGCTGTGTCTGTTCCTAGAACAAGCAGATGTATTCACACCATAATAAGAACCTGATGCCCGGATGAAGGCCCACTCTCTCAGGTCCTGAGAGCCTGCATCTGACTACCTCCTAGTAGCAGATACACATACATGCATATGTGCACACACATGCAGACACACATCAAGAATTCAGTGAGGATCAGGTGGCCATACCCCAGTCCCAGCTTCCAGAGCAGCTAATTCAGGATCAGACCTGTCTCTGAGTAGCCTGCTATCCCAAACCTGCTAGGCACAGAGGAAGCTACTCAGCTCTGATTTGGGAAAATAGTCCTTAAGGAAAGGGAGGCCCTGATTGGTGAGAAACCTGGCCTCCTCCCTGGAGGCCTGCCCTCTCCCCAGGACCTAGGGCTGCCAAGTTGTGTCCTGGCCCCAGGCTTCTCCTCCCACTGCTGGCTGCCCCTCCAAAGGGAGCTGCTACAAACAGTCTGTGCTACTTAGAGGCCCCAGGATCTGGGCCAGAGGCCCCATGAAGGTCCCTGAGGAAGACTGAATCAGAAGCCAGAGGTCTTTCTCTTTCAAGGGCAGAACTCTTCATATGCACAACCAGGAGGCCAACACTAAAGGCCTCCATACTGATAGCCTATTATTGCCTGAGCTCCCAACCTTCCCAGGAGGATTCTCTGTAGGCAGGCTCAGCAGCCTCAGCCTCCCTAGCAGAAAGCTCTCCACAATCTGGCCATCTCAGTCAGCATTGAGAGATGTTCCCCACCAGCACCCTCTTTTCCCTCTCTACTCCATAGCTTAAGCTAAGAATTACAGGCTCTGCCCAGGAAGCATACCTTCCCGTCTCTCTGCTCATTTCCCAGTACCCTAGGTCTGAACAAAGGGCAGGGGAGCTGCCTGCCTCAGACCCAGGACCCATGCTCCAGCTCCCCTTGGTCCCTGGTTCACAGTATAGTACCCACCTACACAGTACAGTCCACTCAGTCAGCAGCCCTGTGCCCCTTGCCCGCCTGTTTACCTAGTGAAGCTGCAGCCAGTCCCCCAGGACAGCTTAGGGGCTGGCATGGGCTGTACCAAGTGCAAATGCAAGCAGGGGGAACCCTAAAATGGCCATAAACAGGGGGCTGGGAGAGTTCAAGGGAATCCAGAAATCCAGGGAAGGAGCAGCCAACTTGTGAGACAGAGGAACTCCAGAACTGAAGAAGGCCTTAACATTTACAGTGCTAGGCCAAGACACCTGGCTCCCAACTGGAAGATGCAAAGCAGGCTGATATGGCCAGGGCAAGCTACAGGGAGAGCCCAACCGTCCTTAAAACCACTACCCTAGGGGATAGGAAGTGGGCAGGGCCAGCTGGTCAAAGGGTAGAAAGGAAGAAAGGGAGGAGAAGCCCTCTTATCAGAACCCATAGTCCCAGGACAGCTTTTCTACCCACTGCTGTCCTCTGGGCCCTAATTATGGGATGGGGGACAGGACCCTTGCTGAGTGGAGGAGCTGACTGGCAACTGGGTAAATGGGCCAGTATGGGTAGGGGACAGTTACTAAGACTTCATGCCCCTAAACCCCCAACCCCTGTTCCAAACCCATCATCTGGCAGGGACAAACTGTCTAGGAGGAGAACTTTGAGAGATGGCACTAGCATTTGGAGGACTGGAGTCTGAGCCCACATACCAGCACTCTCTACCTTTGGGTATAGGCCATAAACAGATTAAGAAATGGCCCCTGTCATGCCTAGGAGCATCCCAGAGAACTCTCAGAAAAAAATGCTGCACACATGTTCTGCAAAGCCCCAGGCACTGCACCCACATGTTTGTGATTACCAGCCTGTGGGACCCACAAAATACTTCCCACAGAGAACCCCACTCATTGAGAAGGCAGGAGGCTCTTGGGCTCAGCACAGGGCAAAGGCAGCTAAGCAAGGAAGGTCATTGAGAAAACAGAACTTGGCACAGTCAAAGATGAGAGATACCATTTCTTGGTAGAGTAAGGGCAGATTCAAAGGAAGAGAAGTGATGGGCTCCTGCCCTCACCTTCAGGGCACAAGGTCTTTTCAAGCCCAAGAACCCTGAGCCTATACATCTTCACAGAGATGGCCCTAGACTACCTCTAACATCCTCCAGGAGAGGCAGACTATAAGTGGTATGTGCCAGCTCATCAGGAAAAACCTAACCTGAAACCACCTCCTACCAGGGTGTCCTGGGGCCTCCACAGCAATACTAGTATGAACAAAGCAGGTTCCAAGGACCCAGAGCCATTACAGAGTATCAGGAGACTGCAGAGGATTGCTGGGGGTTCACTGGACATGACAAACAGGCAGTAACCTCCATGATTTCTGAACCCAGGCCTAGAAGACTCAGTGCTGATAGTCCCTTCTCCCAGGACCTGTGCTGAATGCTCACAGTCACAGCACTACACATGCACACCCACACTCACTGGGAGCCAACCAAAAGCCAAAAGGGGCAAGTCTGTAGCCACTCCACCAATTCTGCAAGATTCTGGCTACCTCATTCCTGTCTTGACCCCCTCATTCACTGCCAGGAGCCCCCTCATTCACTGCCAGGATTGCCTCAGTACGTAGAGTGGTACGCAAAGCTTTGACCCACAAGTATCAAATGCTCTCACCATATGACCACCCAGGAGTCTCTGGTTCAGCAATAGAGGAACGGGCTCAAAGCTACCCTTGAACATACCTCTGCCAGATGGTGCAGATTTGGGCACAGAGAACACAGACCTTAAAGACAGTATAAAGCTCAGAGCAGGCAACTTAATGATACTAGAAAATACTGGAGAGGAACACTAAGGTTATATACAGAAAGTTATGAGGAGGGGGATAAACATGACTCAGCCATCAAAGGCTAGGTCTTTCCTTCGCCACAAGGCATGGGGGCTGCACACACTGGAAAACACCTCTCAGCAAATAGAGATCCAGGCAGTTGACCTTCACCAGAAAGAGCACAGCCACACCATGCCACCAGCAGAGATGCCCATGGAATGGGAACAGAACCAATGGGTACATGACACATAGCACACAGGTCTGCCCCAAGGATACTCCCAACGGACTAAAAGAGAGCAAAGAGTGGACAATTAAAACAGAGCCCCCAGCTCTGAGATGTGGACTACCAATGGGTGTAACCAGATGTCAGTCCCACAGAGAGAGGATTTAGATCTCAGGTCTTGCAAAGAGGACTAGCCACAAAAGAACAGTCTGAGCCTGGCTAAGAAAGGCACAGGCACCAATCACGGTGGCCAGCCTGCAGGTCAGTCTGTCACACACATCCCCAGTCCATTCACACACAGCCTCAGCATATGTACACGCAGACACGTGTGCATACATACTCCCTGATGCACCCACACCCACGCCCACTGCTTGTTACACAGGACAGCATCCCTGCCATAGAAACCTCAGTAACTCCACCCCTTCTCCTTCCTCACATCGCCTCCCAGGCCAGCCATTCCCGGTGAAGGGCTGCACTGCTGCGGAAAGGGTGTTGGCGAAGGGGGTCTTTCTCTGAGAGGTCTATTAGCCTGAATGGGGCAGGGGGACAGCAAACTGGGGCCTCAAGCCAGTAAGCACACTCACCTGCAACTGCAGTGGAGGCCTGCAGGCTGGCCCGTTTCTTAAAGGGATATTTGGCTTTGGGCTTGCTGGGGCCAGATGGATATGATGCCATGGCTGAGGCCAAGGCGACAGTGGAGGAGTCGAGCGGCACCCGTTGGGGCCTGGCTCTGCCACATCCAACCCCTTCCTCCGCCCCGCCCCCAGCGGGAGTGACTGATGCAGGAAGCAGCGCCCCGCAGGCGGAAGAGGCCCTGGCCACGATTTCAGATGTTGTCTAGGCAACCTCAGGGCCTGGGGCCTCCATCCCTGCCCCTTACCCCTCCCCTACTTCCTCTGCTCCTGAAATGACTTGACTGGTCGTGGCTGAGGCTGCGGGTATAGGGCTGAAGGAAGAGAAAACAAGATGAGAGCCATCAGCTCTGCACTGATCCCCCCACTCGACCCCTTTCAGGAGCTCTCACCCCTTGCCAGGACGCCAAGGCAAAGGAGCCAAAGTCCAGGGTAGCTGGTCCAGTCAGGAAAAAAAAAAAACAGAATCCAGTATAACTCCTTCAAGCTCAGAACCTATTCCGCTCCCAGCAGGGCATGTGTACTGATGAAGACACAGCACCTCTGTGGCAGAGCCCCCTTTTTTCTTCTCCATCACCCCCGCCCCCCATATCCCGGTTCCAGGGGTAACCCAGCTGTGGAGAGTAGACAGAACTGAGAATCCCAGGCCAGGAGGGAGGCGCCTATCTTGGTAAAATTCCACTGTCCAGCAGAAGCTGCCTCCAGGGAAAGCAAAGAGGCCAGGACGCAGGGGCATGTCTCAGAAAAAACCCCAGCCTCTCCTGTCTTTCTGTCTTTGCACTTTGGCTTTGCCAGGAGCTGCTGCCTTTCCTTAAATCCCACAGACTATGCCGAGAACCCTGCCCTTTTGTCAGCGGGCCACAACACTTCTCCGGCAGAGTGCCACCCCGCAGCCCACGCGTACACGCTTACCTGAAGCCATGCCTGCGTCCTGAGGCGTACGAAAGCCGCGCACAAGGCTCTGCACTGCCGGGAAGCCCAGGTGGGGAGGGAAGGGAGAGAGTATGGGCCCTAAACGCGGCCAAGGGGCTCCAAGCGCCGCTGCCCAGGCACGGAGCCGAGGGAAGTTAGGCAGTTTTCAAAACTGCCGGCTGGGCGGCAGTGGAGCCTCGCCGACAGCAGCCGATTGACTGGCTGGGAAGACCGGAGTCCCGAACCCCCGCCCCGCACTCAAAAAGACGGAGAGGCCACGTGCTCCTCAGAGAACGGACCCTTGTCTAAGCTTCTTGGAACACTCGCTGGATATTCGCGATCCGACTCCCACGGCTGGGCTGCGGGGGAGTTGCGCAACAGGTGTGACCCCAGCGAAGCCTAGCCGGCACTGCGCCGGCCTCCGCGCCCGCAGTCAGGCCCGTGGCCCCGCCCCCCGCCGGCCGGCCGCCCCCGCCATTTTTCTCTTTCCGGGCGCCACGTGGGCAGTCCCCACGCCAAGGTTGGCCTGGGCCAGCTCTGGGTCTTGAACCAGTTACGTGTGTCAGCTCCTTCATCATGGCATGGGGTAATGACAATTCCCCATCAGAAGGGTTATATGAGGTTTAAACGTAAAGCCTCTTCGCACAATTTCTGGCACAAAGGCAGGAAGCAGTTGAGTGTAGCTGTTAGCATGGTCCCAGGACTCACCGTGAGCAGAAGTCCTGCCCCCGCAATTCTTCATACTCTCACCTGTCATCGTTTTCTTCTGCGGGTCTTGGTAGGCAGGATGTGGTCGCTAAGCTCACCTTTTCACTTTGTTATATTCGGTGGTATGAGCATAAATGTTAGCCAAACTGATCAAATGCAGATAGATGCCTCTCTGGTTACTGACTGGCACTGAACAAGGGTCTTCTCTTTATTTTACCCATAAGATGAGTGTAAGAGGACCTGCTTTATATGGGCAGTGGTTAAATAAATAAATGTAAATGCCTAGAGCGGTTTCTGGCCTGTAGTTAGTACCTACTCACTGTTTATGTACTAGCATTGCTTTAGCCTCAGCTTTAGATTATTATTGACAGCCTTTGATCCACCTTGCAGCCTATGAAGACAATTGTTTGGACTGTAGATCCAATATCCAACCAATATCTCCACTCCCAAGGAGCACAGAATCCTACTTAAAGGGATGTTGTGGAGGGAAGTTCCTTCATTAAATATAATTAAGTGTATGAGAAGGAACGGGTCTTTTTTCTGTTCTCTCCCTTGCCCTTTGTCCCCACACCTAGTTGTTCTAATGTTCCATCTCCTCCCAGTTCTTACCTCACCCACACCAAGTTTTTCCCCAAACTTTTGTCTTCCTCTTCCCTCCTCACTCTGGATTCTATTCTGGACTCTGAAACCTATTGACTACCTGTATTTGATGTCACCTCCACTGATGCCATCTATTGCTCTCATTCCAAACCAACCAAAACCAGGACCTCTGGGGCTGGAGAAGTAGTTCAGTGATACAGTGCTTGCTTGTGTAACACATGCAAGGACCTGGGTTCAATCCCCATCACTGCAAAAACCCAAACTGCATCTTACATAAATGTGTGCATGGGCAAGGAGGTCCATCTCAATCAATAAAAGCAGAATAAGAACAAAGAGGTACCATACTTACATATCCAAATAGCAGACTAAGAAATGCATCTTAATGTAGAAGGGTGTGTGAAATGGGAAATCCACAGTCCTGGTGACCATAAAACATTTATATAATCTTTCAGAAAACCATTTAGTAACATATGATCAGGATTCTCAATAAAGTTTCAACTTAACACAGTAATCCATGTCCAGGAAACTACTTTTAAAAAAAGAGCTGCCAGGAAAAGTTATGCCCAAATTGTTCATCATTGCAATGTTCACCACACAGAAAGTTTGGAAACTTAACGATCAGAAAATGTTTAAATTATATCATATTCATACAACGAAAGACAAGTCATTAAAAATTGTTCTTGGAGAATTTTTTAATGATGTAAAATTGTTTACAATATAAAATTAGGTGAAAGAGTGGATGAAAAAATTGTATACGTAGTGTGGTCCTAATTATATGATATATATGCATAGAAAAAACATACCAAAGAGCTTACAAATGGTTAAGTGGTATAAATATGGGTTGTATTTACTTACACCTATCTGGATTTTTAAATTACCTACAGTATATATCCATTTCTTTTATAAGGGGATAGAAATGAAAAATCTGTAAAACTCTGTCTACAGCTGTCCCCTCCACCCACTGCAGATGTAAATTATTATTATTTTTTAATCATACTAGGGATTGAACCCAGGACCTCACATTTGCTCAGTGAATGTTCTACCAATGAGCTAGATCCCTACCCCTTTTCCCCTAATTTTACTTTGAAACAAGTCTTGCTAAAAGTCCAAACTGACCTTGAATTTGAGATTCTCCTATTCAAGCCTCTCAAATAGTTGGGATTACAGGCATATGCAATCACATTTAAAGTAAAACCCTCCCCTTTTTTTTTCAGTCCTGAATATTATTAAACCCACTAAGCTATATACCCAGCCCTTTTGTTCTTGAGATAGTGTTCATAAATTGCTAAATTGCCTTGAAATCACTGTGTACCTTAATCTGGCCTCAAATTTGTGATACTCCTGTCTCAGTTTCCAAAATGCTGGGATTACAGGTGTGTGCTACCATGCCCAAATTCTTTTTTGTTTGTTGAGACAGGGTCTCACCAGGTAATTTAGGTTGGCCTTGAAATTACTATGTAGTCCAGGCTGGCCTTGAGTTATGATGATCCTCCTGTCTCAGCCTTCTGAGTGCTGGGATTACACATGTGTGCTAACACATTTGGCCCATTTTATTCACTTTTGAATGCTAACATCTTCAAAATTAATGACAGCCCCATGACCAGTTAGGGGATCATATTATGACTAGTTTACTTTTCACTAAACATGGCTGTATACATGAGTAATAAAATACTAGCTTCTTTGGAGGCTGACATAGGAGAACTTAAGTTTGAAGCCAGTCTAGGGTACACAATGAGTTCAAGGCCAGCCTGGACTATAATAGTGTGCTCTTATCACAAGAAAAAAAAGAAAAGAAAAGAAAAGAAGAGAAGAGAAGAGGAGAGAAGAGAAGAGACGAAAAGAGAAAAGAAAGAAGGAAAGAAAGAAAAAGAAAGAAAGAAAGAAAGAAAGAAAAAGAAAGAAAAGAAAGAAAGAAAAGAAAATGCTTGCTTATAATCCCAGCATTTGGGAGGCTGAAGCAGGAGGATCACAGTTCAAGGTCATTTGGGCTACACAACAAGGCTGAGGACAGCCTGAACTACAGTCAGAACCTGCCTCAAAAAATAAAATAAACCCAATTTAAAAATTCAAGCACTGTGTAACCACATACCATCACCTATATTCTGATAAAATGCCAATTTTATAATCTTGCATTGGGTCAGGCTTCCTTGATGTCCCTCTAATCCCTCTTAGCCAGCCAGTAAGTGGGTTCTCTCCTCTACTTAACCCAGGCAAACCAGTTCATTAGTCTGTTTGTGAACCTCCCCAGGTCCAGGTCACCTGGACATAGATCCTGCTAGGTAGCCCTGGTTGCAGCTAAGCATCAGCTTCCTATCTACTCAACATCAACAGGAACCTCAGTGGGGTTCCATTGTCTATGAAACAGAACTTGGAAAATGAAGGAATGAGTCACCCTGTGGCCAGTTTTTTTCCACAATGAGGCCTTATTTTATTTAAGTCTCTGAGGTGTTCCCCAGCTCTAAACACAGCCTCCTCCCTTTCCAACCTATTTCCATCATGATTCCTTAATTGGCCCTTCAGGAACCCAGGTCCCCAATCTTAGCACACCCTACCGCTCTAAAGAATTGCTTCCTTCCCTTTTGGCCTTCAGGTTACTGGCGATGTCTGCTTCCTTAGGTCAGAGTACTACTCTTAAACACCTATGGCTCCAAAAAGACCCTTGGCCAACGCAGCTTCCCAAGTCTACCCTACATCCACACATTTCCAGAATTGAGTTCCGTTTCTCCCAGCAGCCAGCTCTCCTACCCATCCTGCCTTAGATACCCAGCACTCTGATAGCATTATGCAGCCTGTATCCATATGTATTTCTTTGTAAGTCTCCAGTGGATTTGGTTAAACCCCTTAACCTGTCACTCAAGGCCTGGCTTTGGCTAACTCGTTTCCCTCTCCTGTCCTCATCTCCAGGCTCTGTTCTCCATAAATCTTTCATTCTAGTCTGATCACATCAAAATTCCCAGTCTTCTCTAAGTGTATTTTATACCCTGTGTTTCTGCATTTTCCTATGATCTTTTGACTCTCCTAATGCAAAGCCCGCATTTCTACTGCTATTCAGCTTCTCTGCATGAAGTCTTTTCATTTTACAACTCCCCCTTTTCGACCTCAGAAGCTGTAAGTCTAGCAGTGAGATGTGTGTACATTTGTCTCTCAGGTAGAGGTGAGATGTTGTTACAGTACTCGGGGCTGAACCCAGAGCCTTGCAGGCACTGGGCAACACTCTACCATTAAGGTACACCCCTAGTCCAAAGCTACGTTTTAACCAGTGTTTAATGCCCCAGCATGGTGCAGTGTCCCTTTAATTAAACTGTTTCCTCAGTAAATCTCCCCTTCCTCTCCCTTTGGACTGGAAATTCCTAAAAGCCAGTCTCCATGTTCCCGCATTGTATCTGCACAAAGGCTCACCACTGGACATGACAGATTCCAAGAACTGCCCCTAACTCGTGAAACATCTCCAAATTCATTGGGAAACTGATTCGTCTAAAAATGATATATATACATCAAACACTTGAGCTCTAGCTCTGATCTTGATATAGATGTGTTTATTCAGATGAAGATGACTTTTCTGGGCTTCACTTTATATTCATCTCTACATGAGAATCACATTACCTGTCTTATCAGGGTACTGTTCCTAAAAGTGGTAATAAAGTAGAACAGCCACAGAGAAAGGCTTAGAAAGGGGAGAGGCAGGCAGTTCCTGGCATAGGATGGTGTACACCGCGATGACTCTGCTCTCAGAAGCCAGGTGGTGGTGAAAATGGGAAGCACCCCTTTGGACAGCTAGCAAACAAAGCACAAGGACCACAAAAGTCTGCAGCAGTGAAGGCTGAAAAGGGAACATGCGCAAGCAATTTCCCCATGTGTGAAACAAGATCATGGTTCCTTTTACAACACAATGCTGTTGCTTCTAGGTTCACACAATTGCCTAAAAATTCTTTCTCTCACTGCTGAAGGGTATTGGCAAGGAAGATCACTATATGACCTCAAACAAGTTAGGAAATCCTCAGGTCTCAGTTATCTGGTCTGGAAATTGGCAACAGCAGCACTTGAATTTATTTTGAGAAGTAAGGGGTACGAGCCACATAAATAAATGGTCTAGTACAGTTCCTGGCATTTTCTTCTTTAAAGAGTGCAGCATTCAGCACAGTCCTAGCCTGGCTGTAAGTTGCTAATAAGGAAGAAAGGAGAGGGAAGGATGGGGGGGGGGTGTATAATTACTGAAACCTTAGGGCTAAGATTCCAAGACAATTTTAAAGAGACTCTTGGTTTTCCTTAAGTCAATTAAGCACTTGCCAATTTTTGACTGGGAACACGTGATTGCCAGGCTGGGTGTAGTAATGTAGGCCTGCAATTACAACTGTGTGGAAGGCTAATGCCGCAGGATCACAAGTTCAGGGCCAGGCTGTATAACTGTGCAAAACTCCAGTTCCCACCCCATTCCCCTAAAAAAAAAAAAAAAAAAAAAAAAAAAAATTGCTGGGAATACTATTTGGTAGCAGAGTGCCCCCGTGTTCAATCCCCAGTATCTGAAAACAAGCAAGCAAGCAAGCAAGCAAAGAAAAACTCATCATGATTGCCATGGTGGACACTCAGTAGCTGCCTATTTCCCCAGGTTCCAGAGCCTGACCTTTCCAGTATTCAGCATAAAGGTCAGGGAAAATAATCAGCAAAGGCTCAGGGTGTCTACTATCTCCCATTTTCTTGTCCCACTGACCACTGCCACACAACTCCAGCTCTGAAAGGGAAGAACAGATTAAATTCTTTTAGCTTAATGGTTCTCCACCTTAGCTATATACATGGGAATCACTTGAAGAAAATTTTAAATCCTTATGCCTGGACTGCATTCCAGGCCAATTAAATCAGTGCTTTCTAAAACAAAACAAAACAAAACAAAACACTTCAGTAAATGCCAATGTGTACCAAAAATTGAGAAATGTTCTAGGCCAGGGCCTTTCAAATTTGCTGCTGCTGATAATCACCTATACTAGTTTAAGATTACAAGCATGCCAAGTGATCCTTACACCATGCTAACTGGGAGTGGGTGTGTCCTGATGTCTGAGATGCTGCTGAAAGGCAAATTTTGAACTGGAAAGTTTGGCTTGAGGTCCACAGTACATTTCTAACAAGCCTCCAGGTCATTTGAAGTCACTCTTCTTTGTACTATATTTTGGGTAGGGAAGTTCTAAATATCCTCCTCTGTGGAGGTTCCATCAGCAAAATCCATTTAAGTGAAATAACTGGCATGAAGAAATATGGACCGTAGAGAATCATTATGTGAAGGCTGCAGCCTCATTTCTTACTGGGGATGAGAATCAGAGGAGCACTGCCCCAACCTTTGACAGGCAGAGGCTACAGTCTAATTGCCCAAGGAAACTGTTCTGTGAGGTGACACAAACTCTACTAGCAAAATAACACTAGCAAAATCCATACTGAGTGAAGATGGGCCTGAGCATTACTGGGTCCAGTGGAAGCAGCCCCCTACTCAACCAAGTACTTTTTTTCCTTCACTTATTCACCAAATGTTTAGTGAAGACATGCTTACGAACTGTTAAGTTCTAAGAGGTTCAAAGGTAAATCAATACAAAATGAAGTTATAGCTGGGCATGGAGGTACCCACCTGTAATCCCAGGACTTGGGAGGCTGAGGCAGGATTACTGGCATTCCAAGCTAGCCTGGGCTACACAGTTCAAGAACAGCCTGACCCTGCCTCACTTCTCTTACCCCCCAAAAGTAATACTTGCCAAGGATAAAAGTATGTACAAAAAGCCAGCTGCAGTGTTGCACACCTGTAATCCCAGCACTCTTAGAGACTGAGGTACCACAACTGAAAGTTTGAGCTTAGCAAAGGCAATTTAAGGAGATCTTATCTCAAAATTTAAAAAAAATTTTTTTTAATTTTTTTTTTTTATCGGTACCAGGGATCCAACTCGCGACTGCCTGCTTGCAAGGCAGGCGCTTATGCCGCTGAGCTAAATCCCCAGCCCCCCCCCAAAAATTTTTTTTAAAGGGCTGGGGACATAGCTCAGGTTACAGGCCAGTACCACAAAAAGGGAAGGGTTGCAAGTACAGAGATAAAGCACTACAAAGAAACAATGCTGACAGTTTCCGGGGTAGTGGCTCTGGGGGGGCTGAAACAGTCCTAATCTTTCCCAGGAAGAACACCACCCCAAACAAAACTTCTTTGCCAGGACTGGTCTCATGAATGAGCTTCCTATGTTGGAGTGAAACCAGGACCCTATAATCTGGAGGCTCAGTATGGGAAATGATTCCTATGTTTGTCCCCCTAAATCTCCACCTCTACAATGCAAGTATATCCAAAGGAGTAAGCTCTTTCAAGAGATGGTCCCCCTCAAAAGGATGCAGGTGGCCATCATTTCATTCCAAAAAGCTCTGGTATCCACACCCTTCCTTCCTTGTCAAAACATGGGTTGTTTCTTGGATCATTTCCCTTGCTACAGAACATTTTGAATCTTGGCCCTCCGTCTTATTGGTAAAGCTCTTAATTGGCTAGACTCATCACACTGCTAGACATAAAGGTTATAATCCCTAGACTAAGAAGGCCTCCAGTTGGAGTAGGGAGTCTCAGCCAAGGTAGGCAGGGCACAAGAATCTATCACCTGCTCTCAGCCCCTACAAGCTAGCTTTGTAGAGTAAGAAAATGATACTCACTCTCAAGTACTTTTTCCCTTTTCACACATAGAAATTTACAGACGTGTAAGAGCCTGAGGAAGTAGCTGAGAAGACAACAGAGATGGGGAGTGGAATCAGTGCAGAGGACAAAGAGCTGGCCAAGAGATCCAAGGAGCTAGAAAAGAAGTTGCAGGAGGATGCAGACAAGGAAGCCAAGACTGTCAAGCTGCTGTTGCTGGGTAAGTGAGAGAGAAAGATGAGCTGGCAAAGGTCATGCATGCTCTTCTGTTCGCTGGAGGGGCAATGGGCTCCAGCCTAGTACCAGGGGAGGAGACAAGGCAGCTCCATTTTCCTTTTCCCATACCAGGTGAAGCCAGATCCAAGTTCTAGGGCCAAGTCAATATGATACCTACACAGCTAGCCCAAAGGGACCCAGAACGCAAAAAGCTACTGGAATTTCCCCACTGTTTCTTGAACCAGGAATAACACAAGGTCCAAGATGGACCTATTTTCAACTCTAACTAAAGCAATACCTCCCTTTTGGTTTGGCAAATACCAAGAACCTTGGCTATCTAGATACCCAGTCTACAGTAAGAGGACTCTGGGTCAAGGAATTAGAAGAGAATAGGACCTTCCCTAACCAATGGATTCAAACAAAAGTCCCATCATACAGTTCCAACACAGAGACGCAGCAATAGGCCCACTGGTTCTTGTGCATTACATGGTTCCTTCCTGATTTTTGTAAAAATTTTGGAAGTAGGGAACCCTGAATGTGGAGAAATGGGATTTTTAACATTAGTCCCTTCCTGGTTTTCAATTAGTAATTGTCTATAAAGCCTCTGCCAGATGGGCAATTCATCAACCTGATGAGCTTTTAAGCAGATCACTGGTCTGTGCTGAGAAAACAGAAGTACCTCAGTGGGTCAACCAGGGAAACTGATCATAGCAATAAATAGAACCAAGACAAGCAACTTTGTGATGCCTGACTTAGGGGAGAAAAACAGAAACAAAACCTACCAACATTACCACAGAACTAGGCTATCTGTAACAGGTGGGTCCCATTTAACGTAAGAATATGGGTGTGGGTTTCTGAGGCTAGAGTCCCAGGCTAGGGCATCCTTTCTCCTACAGCCCAAGGATACATCAAGGAGTTCAAGAGTTACACAGAGAGAAATGGAGATGACAGGGTCCCTGAGGAATCCTTCAAGCCTAAGCAGACACTTCTAGCTTCAGAATAAGCAGCTTAAGAGGGCGAAAAGCACAGGCTGAGTGGAGAGTTAAGGGATTAGGGTAGCGGAGACAGAGGGAGCGGGCTGAGGGAAATATGGGTTTTGATGGGGGAAGAGTATACATGAGTATTTAGTCAAATAACGGAATCATTAAAATAATGCAAAAATATTTCAAGGAAGTAAGTAAGGTCTCTTTGGTCCTCCCAAGATTATTCACCTGAGTCAAAAATGGGTAGCAAGGAACTGTTAAAGGAATTTCCCTGATTCTATCACTGGTTCTTAATGGAGAGATTTTTGACCCCCAAAGGACAACTGGAAATGTCAGGAGACACTTCTGATTGTCACAACTAGGAGAGTGGGATGCTACTGGCCTCTAGTGGATAGAGACCAGGAATGCTGCTTAATAAACATCCTAGTACCAGGGGAGGAGACAAGGCAGCCTAGTACCAGGGGAGGAGACAAGGCAGTTCCATTTCTATCACTGGTTCTTAATGGAGAGGAAAAAATCCAAACTGAAATGTAAATAGTGCCAAAGTTAAAGAAACTTTACTCTAAAACCAGGTCACTGCCAGGCACAGTGCCTCATACCTGTAATCCAAGCTACTCAGGAGACTAAGGGAAAAGGATCAAAAATTTAAAGTCAGTCTGAGCAACTTAGTGAAACTGCATCTCAAAACAAAAAGGGTTGGGGATGTAGCTCAGTGTTACGAGTGTTTGCTTAACATGTGAGGATCTAGGTTTGATCCCTAGCATTTTAAAAACAAATGCTAAAAACACTGGCTGGGGTTGTAGCTCGATGGTAGACTACCTGCCTAGCATAAAAGCAGCCCTGGGTTCAATTCCCCAGTACACTACCACCAAAAGAAAAAAAAAAAAAATCAATCAACCAACCCATCAATCCAGGTCAAATGACATGAGCTAGAGATGCCAGAAATTGAGAGCAGCAACCATTGTGTGTGTGTGTGTGTTTTTTTTAAATGCTGGGGGGGAAACTGGTGGAAACTGGAAGCATAAGCATTTCTCCTTCCAGGTGCTGGGGAGTCAGGAAAAAGCACTATCGTCAAGCAGATGAAGTGAGTAGAAATAAAGCTCCAAAGGGCTGGGGGGCCCTAAGAGAGGAGTCATTAATGTGGAGAGAAGGTACTTAAGACCAACAGGCTATTTAGCCTTAAGCGTCCCAGGTATTTTAAAGGAACTGCTTCCCAGCGCCTCAACCCCTTTAATCCTCCATTTTGTGATGGGTTTTTACAATCCTTTAAATCCCCTTAGATGCTCTTAGATTTGGTTATTTAGGTCCAGCTAAAAGTCAGGTGTCTGCCCCTTAAGGATCATTCACCAGGATGGCTATTCACCAGAAGAATGTCTAGAGTTCAAGTCTGTCATCTACGGGAACGTGTTACAGTCCATCTTGGCTATCATCCGCGCCATGTCCACACTGGGCATTGACTATGCTGATCCAGGCTGTGCGGTATGTGATGTTATATGGTTAAAGCAAGACTAATGAGAAGAAATTGAACTGGAGGCCAATAAACTATGAATAAAGTTAGGTAAGAGTAAGTTCTGTGTAACTAAAATTTGATCTGCTGAGCTTCAAAACTCAGTTCTGGAAAAGTAAGCAACTTGTACCTTTGAAATGAATGTTTACGAAGTCTGCTCTCTGCTTTCTCTACAGTTTTATCTTCTTTTATTACTTAAATTGTTTCCTGTGGGCTTTTTGCTCTGGCCATCAAACTTTTATAAGCTAACTCCCTAGTTCTAGTATTTGGCCTTGTCTTAAATTTGAATCACTGAAAAAAACAAAAGTGATGGGTTCCTATCTTCCATCTTGTCAATTTCATGGTCAATCTAGTCTTTAAACTTTGACCCTTTCTGCAGCAAAGGACCCACGTTTTGTAGCAGTCTACTTTCAAATTAAATTTGAAAGCTGGAAACACCAGAAAAGGAAGATCTGGGACCCAGAGAATACCCTAGGAATTTCCAAGCTGATACATTACCACCCTCTACACCTGGGGAGCATACTCAAAATTTAATTAGCATGTTCCCTTAATTGAATCTTCACCAAAGGTTGCCTTTACACCTATGTCATTCTCACACAGGTTTCTGCATTTCAGGATTATGGGCGACAGCTCAACAACCTGGCTGACTCAACTGAAGAGGGTACCATGCCTCCTGAGCTGGTGGAAGTCATCAGGAAACTGTGGAAGGATGGCGGTGTGCAAGCCTGCTTCGACAGAGCTGCAGAGTATCAGCTCAATGACTCAGCGTCTTAGTAAGACTGACTGGGGAGGAGATGATACTTAAGCAATCTTGCAGGAGAAATCCCATAGTCTTAAATTTCATGCCTGAAAGCTGGAGATATACACACTAAATTTAACGCTTGCAGATATCTGCTAGCTCCCACCACTCTGCATTACTTTACACTAACTTACTGTGTAGTCTACAAAGCTAAAGGCATGAAATTCAAAACAGAATTATTCTAACACCTCTTAACCTTTAAGAGGGTAACAATGGTTAATACATTGCATATTGTTATCTTTAAATTAGTTCTTCAGAATACTAACCCTGTTTTCTTAAGCTTTCTCATTCAGAATCATAAAACAGCCCTGCAGTTCTGCTGGCCCACTCCTAGGAGGTGTATGAGTCATGACCCTCTTTTAAGGTTGAGTTTTCCAGCTGTAACCCAGGCTTCATCTGTGCTACTAGACAGAAATGAAAGTCTCCTTCACCCATAGCATTTTATGTCAGAACATTAGGGTGAGGACTCAGGAATCACCAAGGCAAACCAAAGGAAGGTGGGCAGGACTTAAAACCAACTGTGTGCAGATGCTTCCAAAAAGATAAGGGAAACAGTTTATCAATCCTACAACAGTATAGTATCATACATGGGCATAAGCTTTAGAGTCAGATGTTTTTAACGCCCATTCATTACCTAATCTTGTAATAATGCTGTCTTTCACTGTCTCTGGAATGCTCCTTTATGAAGGCCCAGTCATTGCCAGTTGTGCTATACATACTGACTCAAGACCCTTTATCCATTTGGACAATAAGCCAAGATAGTGCTTTTTATTAGCCCCATTTTATAGATGAAAAATGATCATCTTTTCTACAACTTCAACAGTCATTTAATTTGCCCAAGATCACACACATAAATAGCAGGGGCTGGATTTGCACCCAAGTCTTCTTGACCCACAATGCTGATTACTTTTTATAGTGTATCATGTCTTTTAACACTGGAAAATTTATGAAACTCTTCTGAATTATTCCTTAATGTCTAAAACGGGCACATGAGTTGGCTCTGGTGTAGCACTCCTGCAATTCCACCACTCTGGGACACTGAAACAAAGACGCCAAGTTCAAACCCAGCCTGGGGAACTTAGCAAGATCCTGTTTCAAAACTTTATAAAGCAGAGGTGGGGTGGGATATAGCTCAGTACAAAGGCACTGGGTTCAATCTTCCAATGCTCCAAAATAAAGAAATACATAAATACATACATACAAAATGGGGATATGAATCTTAAACATTTATGAGGTTCATCAGAACTTACATGTGAAATTTTCTGGCATATATTAGGCACTTGTGTTAATTTTCCTTCTTTTCTGGGTCATTTCTCTTCAAATATCCCTTCCTTCTTCCCTTCCTTTATTTTTTAAACTTTCTCACTTTCAAAGGTACCCTGGTACCTTTGAAAGCTAACTTTCAAACATATACAAAAGTGAAATAATACAATCAGTCACTTAGACTCAGTAATTAATTCAAAACCACTCGTTAGCCTCCACAGTTCAGATGATTTTAAAGCAAACCTCAGATATCACTTCATCCTAAAAATTTCATTACATATTTCTAAAAAAGAGCTTTTTAAAAAAATACTATCATCACACCTAAATATTTAACAATTCCCTAACAGCATCAAACACTCAATTTCTTCAATTCCAATTTTACTCATAACATAACAAAACTTATGCATTGCCTCCTGTCTCGAAAGTAGTTTTCAATCTATCCCCCTCCAACGTGCTGGAGATTAAACCCAGGGCCTTGTGCATGCTAGACAACCACTCTACCTCTGAGATAAATTCCCAGCTCTACTTCTGCTCTTGATGGAACTTGTGGCATTCAATTAAAACAGTAATTCTCATTCAAGGATCTAGATAGGATTTCCAGTTGGCAAAATTCAAAGAAATTACATAAAGTCCCTTCATCAAATTGACTTACCCTTCAGCCCACTTACTCACATCCTTTTTTAAGATATGAAGGAAAGAATCCTAAATTTAGTTATACGGATGCCAGTCCCAATTCATCACATTAGTTGTGTGATTTTGGGTAACTCTCAACTTTCGCTGTTGAAAATATAATGTTGTCAATGTCAATAATTTTTGTCTAGCTACCTGAACCAACTGGACCGGATTACAGATCCTAACTACCTCCCTAATGAGCAAGATGTGCTACGATCTAGAGTCAAAACCACAGGCATCATTGAAACAAAGTTTTCTGTCAAAGATCTGAATTTCAGGTGAGTACATGGTGGCCGAGTACATCTCAGATACACATGTGCAATCCTACACAAGAGACATGAACATTATTTTTGGCCTTTGCTGAAGCCAAATCTGAATTACTATCCTATTACCCCCTGCTCCTTTTCTCCCCATTTCCCATTTTGCTAATTGGCCCCAAAGTGTTCACGGCTCAAGGGGAAGAGCAAAGACATGTGGGTCATATGCCATGCACATCTATGAGAACTGTTGCTTCTTCCCTTAGGATGTTTGATGTAGGAGGGCAAAGATCAGAAAGGAAGAAGTGGATCCACTGCTTTGAGGGTGTCACCTGCATCATTTTCTGTGCAGCCCTCAGTGCCTATGACATGGTGCTGGTAGAAGATGACGAGGTGGTAAGCAGCTTTTGCATGAAGAGGTTTTGTAGATTGTTTCCCTTAGGACCCATTCTTACAAGCTTGTGTCATTCCAGTGTCTCCACTAGGATGTCAATGAACACTGACAGTTTAGTTGTACTCTAGCAGACCAGTGTTTTATGCAAACAATTCTAGAAAAACACTTGTTTTGCACAGTAAAACTCCAGATTTACTATGAATAAGGTTAGTCTCAGATCAGACACACAAGTATCACTCGGCCACCAAAGTTCCTAAGAGGAACTGAGTATTAAAAGGTAAAAGACCCTATCAAGTAGGCAAAGCAATTACATTGATACAGGCTGCCTATGGAAAAACAGAATATGGAAAAATAGAACAGGTAATGTATGATAATGTGCCTTTACACAACTTAACAGAGAGGCGGAGCTACTAACTTCACTTAGAAACCTAAAAATGTACTATGAACAGGAGAGAGTAGCAGTCCAATTTTGTTAAATGTCAACTGGCAGCTAAGGAACCACTTAAGATGGGAGCACTATATAAGATACATATGACAGGAGCACTACAGGACACAACCAGTTACTTCTTACTGCGTTTGTGACAAAGGATGTAAAAGATGTGGGAAACACTAATATCTGCTCTACAAATGGAGGTCAGCAACCTACTAATGGAAGACAAACCTTTTATCTTTCTATCCCTCGCTCCACCTTCATTTCCCTTCCTTTCCCACTTAGTAGTTCAATTGCACATTTGAGCACTCTTGCCTATCTTTTAGGCAAAAAGTCTCAGTGCACTTCATTTTCCAAGTTCTCTTTCATCTTTAATATCTAAAGTCTGTGAAGTCTTAAAAGGTTTTGTAGGAATAGCAAATACTGAGGAAACACTATAAATCAGGTTTTTCTTGTGCTGAGCTCAAGTCGGCATACTGCAAGTCTCTAAAGGCCTGTTTGCTGGAAGCTGGCGAGCCTGGGGCACTGGGCAACCTCCAGACTCTGCAGAAGAGAGATACCACTTCTCATCTCTCAAAGTAGCAGTCAGAGAAGGGAATAAGACAGCACAAATGCTGGTAGTACAGCATTGGGAAATTCTCTAGTACTCACTAGGACCCAAATCATCACTGTCAGGTTCCTGTTCAAATAGATCAGTCCATATGTATGATAAGCCTAACAAAATCACAAATAAGCACATGCTACATGTGGTCTGGTCTCAACCCTGTATCAGCAGTACTTAAAGATACAGAAGTCCTGACTTGTACCTGGCTGCCAAAGACTTACGTAACATTTATTATGCCAGTCACTACCATAGACATTATACACACATGTGCTCACTTAACTTTCACAATAACTCTAAGGACACTAAGGCTCAGAGAAGCTCAATACTTTTCCTGAAATGACACAACATGATAGGAATATTAACAGGAACCAGATCTCTGGCTCTACTCTATCACATTAAAAAGAAGTCATTTGCTTTTACATTTGGAAACCTGATCTCTCCAAGGGGAACAAGCAAGGAAGCAGGCAACAATCTCATAATTCCAATCTGATGTTTCCAATGGTGTTTCTTCTTACTAGAATCGTATGCATGAGTCTTTGCATCTGTTCAACAGCATATGTAACCACAAGTTCTTTGCTGCTACTTCCATTGTCCTCTTTCTCAACAAGAAGGACCTTTTTGAGGAAAAAATCAAGAAAGTCCATCTCAGTATCTGTTTCCCAGAGTATGACGGTAAGTGTCAAAGGCTGAAGCAAACAGTAGTTTTTTTTTTAAGTAATAACTGATGACTGCCTCTTTTCTTCTTTTTTTTTTTGTTGGTACTGGGGATTGAACTCATGACCATGTGCTTGCAAGGCAGGTGCTTATGCAGCTGAGCCAAATCCCCAGCCCCGACTGCCTCATTCTTTATGCCAAGAAGAAATAAACGTCTTCAGGGAGAAACTCGGGGATTCAGTTACAGGGTTTAAACTCAGATATATCTGGCATAGAGCAGATATTAGATGCAGGACAGCCACTGACTATTCAAAGAATACTTGCCAGAAACCAAAGGTGTAGACATAAAGACACCTTTCTTCTTCAGTTTCCTTGGTCCACTCAAGTGAGAAGCACTGGCTGCAAGAGAGAAACCTCCCAAAAGCTGGTCCCAACTGTACTTGTCCAACACATTTCAAGGATCAAGTTCATTTAAAAAGTAAATAAGCAACTAAGAAGGGTTAACTTTTGTACTTTTTCCACTATTTTTTCTGGAAAACCAGGGAACAACTCCTATGAGGATGCAGGGAATTATATCAAGAGCCAGTTCCTTGATCTCAATATGCGAAAAGATGTCAAAGAAATCTACAGTCACATGACATGTGCTACAGACACACAGAATGTCAAATTTGTATTTGATGCAGTTACAGATATTATCATCAAAGAAAATCTCAAGGACTGTGGGCTCTTCTAATCTACATAACTCCTCAGGTATATATTTTTTAAATTTTATTTGTTATTTCATTTCATTTTATTTTTTGAGACTGGGATTCCCCATGTGGTTCACAGTGGTTTTGAACTCACTATGTAGAGCCCAGAGTGGCTTCTAAATCATGGCCTCTCAAGTGCCCTGAGATATATATTTTATAAACAAGCTTAGAACATAGGTAATTTCAAGCAGATAATCATAGGTCAGTATACCCTAATATGAAGGATGAATCCACTGTCCACTGGGGATGGAGAATGCACAACTGAAACTATGTCTCATGTTCTTTTAAGTAGTTTCAAGACCACGAGGCCAAGAATCATAAGATCCAAGTTCCAGAACTAGTTCTGCTTAACAAAAGAATATAAGTACTTCATCTCTCTGTGCCTCAAGTTCTTTATCTATGAAATGAAGACTGCTTTCCTACCTACTTCACACTTATTCTGAAGCCCACAAATATACCCAAAGGAAAGGCACATGAAAGCCCTGTGGTTAGTCACAGCAAGAAAGTCCCTAAAAGCCAGGCATGGTAGTACTGGAGTCTGAGGCAGAAGGATAGCCATAAGTTTGAGGCCAGCCTGGGTTTTGTGAGTTTAAAGGCAGCCTGAGCTACATAGTGAGACCCTGTCTTAAAACTCGGAAACAAAAACTCCCTACAAGTGCTACACTTTATGAAATCAACATCTGGTTTTTAGACAAACTACCTCCACAAACCTCTAAAATCTGTGATCAACTATTAAAATGTCAATTTATTTAGCACTTTCTTCTTACAGGTACATGCCTGTATCTGGATCACTGGATAGATGTGACTTTTGTTACTAAGGCACATATCCAATCATCTTTATTAAGTACAGATTATTCCTCTGTCCCTCAGGCTGCCAAACAGTTTCCTTTATCTCTGTAAATATGAACTGCTCAGCTTATATAACATACTTTCTGACCAAACTTGGAAGACATCAACACACTCTCCACTTAAGATATTTTATTGCTGCCACTTCTGTATCACAGAATTTAGAACAAGTGAGCAATTCTAAAATTCTCATTTGAACTGGTATGTTTTAGAAGAACAAAAAAGACAGTTGAGCTTGCTTTAGGTACAGAAATCTTCACAGCTTGGTCCATGTGATGCTGACTCTCCCCAAATAGAGCAAGGAGTAAATTATTCCTTTAAACTCCTTTGAAGTAAAGCTGGTATTTATCTTGACAGGTGGTGGTGAAGTCAAGTGTAGATTTAGCATTTACAACTACTAGTGAGGAAAGCTCCTGGCACCCAAGATTAAGTATATAAAAGAAAGTGTCAATTAAAATGAAAAGCTGCTCCCTGCTAGAAACACCCATTCCACTTAGGCTGGCACTAGCAACATTAATACTATAGAGACATATGAACTTGAAACACTGAAGAATAATTTTACAGTTGTTAAAATTGTTTTGTAAAATAAATACATAAAATAGTATTCATTTAGCCAGACATGGTGGCACACACCTGTAACTCTACCACTTAGAGGAGGCTGAGGCAGGAGGATTGCCATAAATTCAAGGCCAGCCTGAACCGTACAGTGAAACCCTGTCGTAAAAAGACAAAAAAAAAATTTTTTTTTTAACTGGGTTCATTTAAAGTCAGAAGGAAGTTAAAAAATATTATAGGACCATCACTAGTGACCTATAGGTAGAAACTGGGGCCCATGGAGTAGAGTGCTCACTGGTATCACACTGCTAATAACAGAACAAATATTCCAAAAAGCTCTTCTGAATCTAAAGAAAATGATCCTTCTACAGACCTTACTGCTGCCATACACAAGAAAGTCAAATTCAATTTTTCATTCTTCCAAGCAATTCCTAAACTCTTGGTATTTTTTAGTTATGCTATCACTATATTATGAATATTTAACGAAACTATTTTCAACTAATATATGTAGGTTCCAAAACAGCATGAAATTAGCGGGCACAGAAATGTAAGTATTTTTACATTTGTTGGTTAAAGAAATAATTTCTCATTCAAAGACCTTAAGGTACCTCCCTAGCACAGCATGATTTAAGAAACCCAGATGATAATAAATCAAATGTAAATTAGGCTGTTTCACATAAATTTGATGAGTTTTCTTTTACAAAATATAGTACAACTGACACAAAAGGGAAAATACTGTAGTGATTCTACATACACATGATACAGTACTTAAAATACTCAAATTCATAGAGAAGAAAGTAGAATGATTATTACCAGGAGCTGGGAGAAAGACGGAAATAAGGAGTTAGTGTTTATTACACACAGATTAGGAAGATCAAATTAGGAAGATAAAAAAGTTCTGCAGATGGATGGTGGTGACAACTGTGGAGCAGTGTGAATGTACTTTATTCCACTGAACTATATACTTAAATGACTTAAATGGTAAGTTTTATGTTATATATATTTTACAATTTTATAAAAAGGAAAAAATGTAATTGGAAGTGTGCTTTTATGTTTGTTATAAAAGGAACAATGAATAAAATAAGTACAGTAATTCTATCTTAAAAGCAATATAAAAGACACATATACTTGTAACCATGCCTACTCTGATACCCTCCCTCATGGCCCCAAACAGTCCAAATCAGAATGTTACATTGCAACCCCAAGATGAGACAACAGCATTCAAGCCCGACTCTACTTGGAGATATGCCGTAGACCAAAGTGTGCTGGCCATGCTGGGTGGAGAAGGTGGTGAAGGGTGAAGAGCTCTTACCTCCCACTGCCCTCTCTACCCGGCACAGCCCCCGGAGCACAGATTCCAGCAGGACTTCGGTGTTGGGCCAGAGACTGCAAGTGTGCCAGAACCTCTGGTGGTCCTGCTCTGTTAAGTCGAGAACGTTTCTGTGAGGTCAAACATATTGGAGACTGCAGAAGGGAACTTTTCTGCCATTTGGCTATGAAAAAGCAAGCACCAATATGAATAGAAAATAAAGCAATTTGTAAAATATAAAACAAGCAAATGACTTTTTCACCCTGGCAACAAAAAGAGTAATTTATAATTCAACTTCATTTCAGGTCTTCAAATAACTGTGGGGGAAAGTAACTGTGAAAAGACCACCAGCTACAATGAATACACTTGTTGGTGCTGCCACAGGATATTTACCTTTTTGCAATGCAATATAATCTTGTGAATCAATCATAAGAGCATCACAAAGCATCTTCATACATATTCCTACTTAATCAGAACCACAGACTATCACAATTGAAAGGAACATCTTAGTACATCTTCAGACAAACACACAAGGGATAGAAAATTGAAAGTGACCTGTGCAACATTTCATGGCTAGGCTGAAGCCAGGAAAGACCAGCACTCCAAACAATTCTCAATGAAGGTTTGCAGGGTTTCAAGTCCTTTATCCTACATAAGCAAGGATAAGAGAAAACTGGTAATTTTTTTATGTTGTATCTATTGGGAATCACTCTTACACATAAATAAGTCTCTTAGTTAAAATATATGAAGACAGGGCTGGGGATTTAGCTCAGTGGCATAAGTGCCTGCCTGGCAAGTACAAGATCATGAGTTTGATTCCCAGCACCAAAAAATAAAATAAAAAATAAAACAAAATATATGAAGAGTACTAGGGTAGAAGGCGGTAGACAGACTATAGGAGAGGATAAACCAAGATGTATGTAAATTATTACAGCTTAGTGAACGCTAACACACTGAGATACTATATCCCAGCAATATATTAGTATTCATTGTTATTTTACTTTTTGATACCTTGTGATTACCACTAGATCTCAGGGACAGAAAACAATGCTCTTGAGCATAGACTTAAATTCTCTGTTACAGGATCTTTGCCTATCTTTAATTTGGTATGCAAATCTTTTAATTTTCATTGCATAAATAAAGGCCATGAAATAAAAACATTTGGCGATTCCAAGTTTCTCGTTTTGCTTTAATTTTGTATAAAAATTATTCTGTATTTAAGATGTAGTACTGTATTTTCTAACTACTAATTTTTCCAGTGGAAGGCACTTTAGTCATATATACAAAAAGAATTTCTTGCTGGACATGACTGCACATGTATAATCCTAGCTACTTGGGAGGCTGAAGTTAGAAGATCAAAGTTCAAGATTAGGCTGAACAACTTAGTGAGACCCAGTCTCAAAAAAAGATCTAGAGATGTAGCTCAGGAGGAACAACCCATCTTCTATCCCGATATCCATTTAGCCTGCGCACATACACAAACATGCATTTATTTATTCACAAATTTTAAAACTCTGTTATTCATTAGTGATTTTGAGGTTATGTATGTGCTGTAGTCATTTATCATCTGTGTTGATCTTTAACATTAGGTCCTACTCAGTGCCCAAATGTTGACCCAGATTGCCTACAGAAAAATTGCCTCACAAGTTTATTTAAAAATATATCATCAGGATCTGGCTCAGGTATTACTACAGTTTAGCAAGGAAATCTATATAGATTAATCATGTACTCTAAAACACTTGTTGCTGTGTAACATTGTTAATTACCCCCCCTTTTTTTGGGTTTTTTTGAGACAGGGTCATATTATGTAATTCAGATTGGCTTTGAGCTAACTGTAGTTCAGGTTGATCTCAAACTTGCTACAATCTTCCCGCCTCAGCCTCCTGAGACTACAGACGGGTACACCACCACGCTCAGCTCACTACTCATTATTTCTAAGCAGACCTGGGTTTGACATAGTATTAGAAAAAAAATGTCTTACACTTATTTGTCCTAAAATATATTGTCCTTGACAGAAGTGATTCACAAAATTTAGTAAGAAAACTAGGGTGTGTGTGTGTGTGTGTGTGTGTGTGTGTGTGTTTAAAACCTAAACAAAGGAAAAGAAACACACTGAAAATTTTCAGCTGCCTCTAAAAACCTTGTACACTCTGACAGTTGGCAGCAAATTAACTTTTAATTTCAGGCCTGTTTTTGTTTTTCTTGTGCTACTGGAAGCAAGACAATAGAATATGATGGTTATAAAACAATGCAGAGATCTGTGCTTGTCCAGGTCAGATCTTCTATAAAGCCTGAAGTAGTTAGTATAACCATAGCTGATGATACTGCCAAACTAAGATAACTTTTTTTTTTGAAAAAGGGTCTTGCTGTGTAGCTCAGGCTGGTTCTGAACTCACTATGTAACCCAGGCTGACCTTGAACTCATGGCAATTCTCGTGCCTCAGCCTCAAGTTCAAGGATTATAGGCATGTACCATCGGGTCTGGCAATACCTGTTCTTGAAGTCACTATTACATATGAAAGGTAAAAGATTCCACAAGTAACAACACTGAAAAAAGTAGGGCTACTTTAGTCTGATTAGAGAATTTTTTTAAACATCTGAATAGGAAAAGTCAAAAGCATATCTTTAATTGGGAGCCTGACTTAATTTTACATTTAACTGTAGTACAATAAGGACTTCTGCAACAGGAAGTTCCAGAATTGTATTACAGATATTAAGCAAACAGATAAATATATTAAGTAACTGGTCAGGCCAAGCAACCAATTTCAAAATAAAGTCACAGCTACAAACTGGAGTAGTGGCCAGGGCATATGAATATAGGATGAGTGAATGAAATAGAAAACCAGTAGTTATTTTTTGTTTAGAAATTGTCTAAAAGGCATATATTATATGAATGTATATGAGAATTAAAAAATAAAACAAAAAAATTGTTTTGTTTTGTTTTGTTGAGACAGGGTATTACTGTGTAGCCAGGTTGGCCTTGAATTCACTATGTAGCCTAGATTGGCCTGAACCCATAGCAATCCTTCTGACCCTGTCTCTGAAGTGCTGGGATTAGAGGTATGCATCCCTGCACTTGGGCAAGAAAACAAGTTTTTAAAAATGTGACCCAGGGCTGGGGATTTAGCTCAGTGGCATAAGCGCCTGCCTTGCAAGCAGATAGTCCTGAGTTCGATCCCTGGTACCGATAAAAAGGAAACAGACAAAAAAAAAAAAATGTGACCCAACTATTCTGTATTACAGTGTTTTATAAAAAAAAAGTCAGAGAAAATAATAAAATGATACACCAAACTGGAGATTTAGAATTCAAACTGTTCAAGATGAAGAGGTTACCTCAATATCCACTTGTGAGTAATTATAGTGGTTTTTAGGATTTTCATTTCAGAACATGAAATCTGTTACAGATCTGAATTTGTAAGGTTAGGGAAGACCATCCATAGAAAGACTACTTCCTCTTTGCCCAGGGTTTTAATTAAGAGATGTGGCTATCAATAAAATAAAAAGCTACTACTGTAATCCTTCCTGCTAGGTTCTATCTACCATTCTTTGAAGTCATTAAACTTTTCATTTTCATAGCTGTGCTGATTTCTTAAATGATCAGAGGTATGGTCATTGAAATTCAAAAACATTATTCATCAAATATTCTCCAGAAAGCATGCAATATGGCTTTTAGCATCCTTAACTGCAAATACCAATCTTTTTTTCTCCAGGCTAATAAGTTTGATGTTTCATTCCCACACTCTGGCTCTGCCACAAGAAAACATCTTTTGCTTCAAAACACTCTGCTAATTTGAAAACCTGATTGTCAAACTCACCTTTTAAGATTACAAGTCTTCCAGCCAAGAATCAACATTTTCAGTTAAGTCTAGGTGATTTTAACTTAAGCCGTATTTGAAAAACATTGACTTAAAACCGCCTCCCCTGTCCTCAAGGAATGTGCATTGAAGATAAATTACATGGGATGATAGGGTAAGAATGATCTTCATGTAAACAGAGAACAAGTACAAATGGTACAAACAAAAAAGTATAAAACTATGCTTTCATTACCAGAAGAAGGTTTAAAAAAAAAAAAAAAAAGGAACATATCTGTACTTCCAACTAAAATTATCTAATACTTTAGATTACCAAAAATATTAAACCCAGAATATAGCAGTACTATGAAAACATTCTCATTCCCAGATGATCCTGTATTACAGAATACAAGTAAAGAAAAATATGTTCAAAATTACTAAGATCTATTAAACCCTACTTACATTGTGGGCATTAAATCAACCAACAGCTGAAACTGATAATTTCCTTTTTTCTAGATCAAGTTTTACTACCCACAAAGAGAATTTTGTTAGATACTGCAATTATACTCTCTGCATAGCTATGATTTTACCAAAGAAAAAAAGAGTGAAAGTTAAAATAACTACCAACAAAAGCATGAAACTGCTGTGGCTTTCTGAAGCCACTCTGATAAGCACCAATCTTTTTTTTCCCCCTAATAAGTACACAGTCACATCAAAAAGTGAGATAAAACCCAACCCCCAAAAATCGGACCCCAAAAGGCAGAGATTAAACTACTGATTTAAAATGCTCAAAATGCATTCTCATTTGCCTTTTCCTAGTATTTAATGACAATATGACATTTGCCGTACATTGCTCAAAAGGCCCGGCAGGTAGAAGTAAATATAGCACTCCACACAAGCAAAATGTAAACCCAGAAGATGAATTATGACTGCATTTCACTTGTACACAGACAGGACATAAAGCCCTCCACCATGATCCAGATTCAATAATACTATTATACTAAGAGACCTCTTCTACCTAAACAAACCCATTCTCAGACAATGGCCAAGCACACTCAGCAGAGGCAAAAAGAAACAAAAGACAGTATTTCCAGAAATTACTGGTTACAAACAGGAGCAAACCTGAACTCTTTACTCACCATTTTAATACTGCTGCCAACTATAACAGATTAAAATCTGTATACACAATAAAGTGGAAAAAGTCCCAAAATGCATTATTTTTGGTAAAAGAATGTACTGACTAAGGATTACTACAGTTAACATTACTACAGTAAAAACAATGGCAAACAGGAATTTGGCACCACATTTACAAAATAAAAGCATGCACTATTAATATATTTTAGATGTCTCCCAACAAAAAAGGCCATGAAGATGGAAAACAAGAGGCATCCTGTACAAAACTCCTATGACTGAGACAAACAAGCAATAATCAAAGCGGTCAATTTAGTAGTAATATAGCAGCAAAGTCACTGGTTCTGTCTGGAATTTAGCAATTTGCAATTCTAATTGATGACTCCCCTGGTGCATCTTTATCCAAGAAACTGACTTTATCATACTACACTGGCATTTATCTAGTAATTCGGTAACTAGCATAAACAAGGTTAACCTCAGCCATAAGCTTAAGAGAGCCAGAATCTTACTGCAGAACTCTTCAATGTAATTACCATTCAGAAACCATCATGGTATTTCGAACAGGATAGCAAAATAATTTCATTCAAAAAGTTGTATTTTTTAGCCCTAATAACTCAACAGAATTCTAAGTGTGGAAATATTATATTTTGGACCATACCAAGAGTTAAAAACAAAGAGTTCCTACTAAGTGGAATATTTTCCAAATGACCTAGTCACATCATGTGCATAGTTAAAGACTGTTTGTGTTTTAATAAAGATTCTTTTGCAAATAAAGAAATAAAATTTAGTAGTTATTCTTCTCTTGATGAAAAAAAACAACTTTAGAAATGAACTGGTGATTTGTTAAGAAGGAAAAAAAGTAAGCTATGTATTGAAGTTCTGGAATGCAGCACCTCAACTTCGTATCTGCCCTAAACATTTGAGATTAAAAAATCCAAGTGACGTCTTGATGATCAAATCACATTTTACAGTTGTTCAAATTCCAATGTCTGACTTTAGCATCTTATGTCAATTAAAGTTCCCTAATGCAGAAGATTGTACTAAAGAGTGCTAAGATTCTGCATGCTGCTGTCATTCCCTGGTCCCGTCATGCTTGCAGCTGCCCCACACGGCAGCAAAAGATGTCTGGTCTCAACACTCCATACTGTAGTAACTAGAAAAGAAGAATATTCTTAATCAGAATAAGTCTACCAAACCACAAGACAACACTGTACAGCACTATAAACACATTTTTTTGA